TTGAAAGGATTGTATTCTCTGAAGCACGTGTTGTCTGTAGTCTAAATGTGTTTTCATCTGTCTCTACTGTACGTGTTAATATTTGACATAATCGACTCAATCAAAACTGTTGCTGTCATCAAAGAAACAGACCTGTATCACAAGGATCTCATTTGTGCCACTTTATTTTGAAGTTTGGGATTATATAGATTCTGTTTTAATCGTGATGTGACTCCCTTTCTTCCAGAGGAGGCTCTGCAGAGACAGGAGAGGATCTGGCAGCGGGAGGTGGAGGAGTCTCTCTCCTCCTGCAGGTCTCTCTCTCATCCCTTCAGACCCAAACACATCGACTTCCTGCGCATCACCGCCGCTGAAGACGACATCTTTGATTCACGCCCATCCTCGCCTCTCCCCCCGGAGCTCAGGGTGGGTAGCTTTAAAGACGTGATGTGTAACAGATTACCTTACTTATTTGAGTGAAAATAGTCTACTAATGGCTGTGTTATCTGCACTGCAAACAAAGGCAGCGACCATAGTCAAAAACTCCCTAAAAAACTCATCATGTATTATAATTATAACTCTAGTGACAATAAAGCTGCAGCAATCATGACATTAAGCTACATGGTCTATGTCTATTCTATTATATGTCTATTCTATTATATGTCTATTCTACAGTGCCTAACAGTCTTTTAATTCAAGTTTTAGCAAACACCTCATACAGCAGTGTGTGTGTGTGTCATTTTAGGGTGAAGACTTGGTTAGGATTAGGGTTATGGTAAGGGTTAGGGTAAGGGTTAGGGTTAGGCATGTGTTGGTTATGGTTAAGGTTAGGATAAGTCTCCAGGAAATGCATGAAAGTCAATGTAATGTCCCCTGAAGTGATGTATGCATGGTATGTGTGTGTATGTGTGTATGTGTGTGTGTGTGTGGTACGTAACAGAAGGGGTTTAATGTAACTCTGTAGGTGCATTGTTTCTGTGTAGGCATGACATGTTCGTTTACTAGGGTTTAAAGCTCTTAAGCTCCGCCTCTTTACTTCTGCACATGTGAGTGTGTGGTGCTGAAAGTTGAGGAAAAATACATACATTATATTTTGACCATTTTGTGAGAAAAAGGTGATAATAATAAATCCAACGGGCAAAGTAACGACCATCTAAAACGAGTTAAAGAGTAAATCAGAACGCCAGAGTAAAAGGAATCGAAATAACATTACATAGATAATAATTAGGGGAAAAAATTACTTCCAACCACAAAAACATAAAACATAGAATATGTGTGAAAATGAAGAGTTTTGAAAAAACACAATAAAGACGTGAAGATGAATTGAAAATGTGAGTCTCACATTTTTTCTCCAATTGTGAAAACTGATCGCCATATATGGTTTAAAATGCAATCAATTCAGAGAGAATATGTGTCTATAATACGGACTTTATTCTTTAAATACAATAAACCCATGCTGACCTCTAACAAACTTTACATTATTTAAAATTCAAAACTAGAGAAATTCCCAACAATAACAGAAAATATTTGGTAAATGTATATCCGTTGTTATCCAGTAAAGATCATACGTGTGTGTGTGTGTGTGTGTGTGTGTGTGTGTGTGTGTGTGTGTGACGTGCTCTCTGACTCTAATGCTATTTCATGGGGTTATCTGGATTCATTCCTATTACATGAACACAGCTCGCATAAAGGCCGCTGTGTCCCTCTCTGGGGAATGCATAAAAGCACTTCATAAGTGTGTGTATGATTAGTTCTAGTTAAGCTTCAGGCTGAGGCTCTGAGGACAATAAGAGTCAGAGAAAGTTACACAGAGAAGTGACATACTGGAAACATGTCAGTCAGCTGCTGCTGGGTGTGATAATGTATCATACTGTATGATATTTTACACTTTATCAAATCAAAATGTTCCTTCTTTTGTATTGCTCAGTATCACCTCCTTGACTGTTAATGTACTTGTTTATTCATATTTATATTTTTATATTAAGTGTTAACTTTTCATTCTTGATTGTAACAAGTTGTTCACTTAAAAAGAACAACGTACAAACCAACATAGCAACAAGTAAAATATACTTATATGTACATTTTTTATATATATTTTCACTTTTAATAGAACATTTTTCCCTTATTTGATTAAATCTGTGTCCCCATCAACTTATAATTTTTATATTTTGTATAAATATGTATGAAGAATTTTAGAAAACCTATGTTTGTATTGGTTTCTCTGAGCAGGTTCGATACACCATTTTCCAATACAAAAAGTACACTACAAACATAACAGTTGTGAGCTAATATCAATGTAACTGAACCCAGCACTTTTATTTGATAACTTCCAATAATCTGAATAACCTCTGACTTTGCACAGTGCATGTTGGTTGTAAGGTGAGCTGATTAGCAGAGTAGGTGGGGTTGGTCCTGCTAAAACGTCCAGATTAGCCGAGTGTTGCCTAATTCCTGCAGGGGGGCTGAACGTTCCTGTGGATTTACAAACACTATCGTTTAACAAGTGATTCCGGCTGGCTGTATTTACCCTCCTGCAGCTCTGGGTGTGGCGTCCCTCCATCTGTTCTGGGTGGCCTGCTTCGCCCTACAGCTCACGGATCTGTCAGGGTGTTGTCACAAACAGTGGCTGAAATCACCATCTGCTTCCAATTACACTATGACAATCTGCAGGACGGTCGGCAAGAACCTGCTCTGTGAGGAACTATAGTGTTTAGAGGAGCCAGAGGGGGGAAAGGAGACAGAACCTGGAAACTAAAACCGGGACGTGGAGCTAACTTTTAATTGTGGTTGAGCTGAGTCATGGAGCCGGGGGTTTGGAAACTTTTCCGTTACTCTGTGGATTCCTCCCCGTTCATTCTGAGTGACTAACTTCCAGTTTGGAAATGTAGTTCTCCGGTAAGACATGAAGGAGATGTTGTAGCGGTGAAAGGATACATCTATTTCTTTTCAACAAACTGGAGCGGAAACAGGTCGGATTTTCAGAAGTGGTGACTTTTCAACATTTCTTGCATCTTTATTAATACTAAATGAAAGTCGCATGATCCTGGATGTTTTTATACAAACTATTGCATGGCAAACAGATGCATGAACACTCAAATCAGCCTCTTAAACGGCATTGTTCTGAAGTAAGATGTTGCACCTACAGTAAGTCTCAGATATTAGCTGTTAAACAATGTTGACATTGTGGAAAAGGCTTTTCAACATCTTCCTACTCCCTTCACTCTGGATTATGTTTTATTTGTGAGCAATTTATGAGCAATGGAGGAGCAAACAGCCATCCTAAAATTCTTCAGGATCCTTATAGAGGAGGAGGACGAGGGTGTAATTCAAGGAGACACTGAGCTGAGTTTAGATATAAAGAAAAATGGCTTTGAGGAAGCTGTGGAGAACAGTAGAGAGTCCTTATCGCATGTTAAACTGCTTTATGATGGGGAGAACATGACTTGTAATACAGTGAGACATATAACTAAAGGAGAAGCAGGAAATGACTCAGACATGGCAGAGGAGGAGAGGTGTAATGTCAACCTAACAGAGCAGCAAAGTGTGGCTGCCAACGCTGAAACCTTTACAACAAATCAAGACGAGAATAAGATGCCATATGACAAAGTTAACGGCTACAGCAACGAGGGTTGTCGCATATCGGAGAACTCGCTGGATGAATGTGCCTTGAAGGAAACTGTGCAACCAAAATATCAACATACTTCAACTGACTGCATGGATACAGGCTGGGATTCTCATTCCAAGCAGGATGCCACTGAAGAAGTTAATAAGAAAGAAAGAAAAGATTATGAAAATGTTCACATGCAGGATGATTGTGTCCCAAATGCTTCCAGTTCAGATGTCGGTTCTGACCCTGAGGAATCTGAGAAAAGTAGATCTGAAAATATAGTAATTATAGTGACTCGGACAAGACCTGGCGTTGAGGAAGAACCGATATTAACTCCAACATTTGAGCATGCTGATGGCTCGTCATCTCATATCCAAAATAAAGAGGAGAGGACCGGATCAGATGAGGTAAGCGAAGAAGAAGAAGAAGAAGAAGAAGAAGAAGAAGAAGAAGAAGAAGAAGAAGAAGAAGAAGAAGAAGAAGAAGAAGAAGAAGAAGAAGAAGAAGAAGAAGAAGAAGAAGAAGAAGAAGAAGAAGAAGAAGAAGAAGAAGAAGAAGAAGAAGAAGAAGAAGAAGAAGAAGAAGAAGAAGAAGAAGAAGAAGAAGAAGAAGAAGAAGAGAAAAGAGATGAATTTCCAGACTTTTCCTCCCCTCTTTACCCTCCAGCCCCAAAAGACCCTCTTTCCATAACATCTGCAACCCATAACCTTCCACCTGGATCCACCTTCACCAGAGCCACCTTTAAACCGAGCTCTCCCACCGACAAACAGATCCAGCTCCCGGCCCTCTTCAGCGGGCTGAGGGTCCTGAGGAAGGGGGTCGTCGGGCCCGAGCACGACACCGTGGCCCGGATCAAAACCTCATCACCAGCAAAGAGAGACATTTTCCCTGATAAACAATCGGACGGTAAATCCCAGGAGAGCTTCCTGGACCAGATCTCACAGCTGCTGAACCTGGAAAAGAGCGAAGATGAGACCGAGGTGACCGAGGAGAGGACGGAAAGGGAGGCTGAAGCAGATGAGAATGAGATGGAAAAAAGTCAAGAAGACGAGAGGGAAGAAGTTGAAACAGAGAAGGAAGCAGAGGTTTCATCTGAGTCCACCAAGCCTCCTGCGTCCAGCGCAGAGGCGGCATTCGATGCCTTCAAAGCCTTTTTCACCCCAAAGCCTCTGAAGAGGGACCCGGCTGAGAAGATAGACCTGGACGCAGTGAGGAAGAAGATAAGAGCAGATAAAGATGTGTTGAAGGCGCTTTTTGAGAGATCCTCCAATAAGACGCAAGAGAAGAAAGACTCCCCTGATGGCAAAGTAGGAATTGTGTATCATCTAGAATCGACTAACCTTGCTATCAAATCAAATCAAGTTTTATTTATATAGCACATTTATAAACAATTTTTGGTCAAGCCAAAGTGCTGTACATAAAATACAAATAGCCTACAGAGACTAGAGACATGATTGCAATACCGACCCTCATGTGAAGAAGCTCTATTTGTTATATTATGTTGTAATGTCAAACTCTTTTTTCATTTTAGTCAGAAGCGTCCACCCCAGGAGATGGAGAGGAGAGAACGCCAGGTCGCCTTCAAGCTGTCTGGCCACCACTGAAGGAGGAAAAAGTTGGGCTGAAATACACAGAAGCAGGTACACAAATATAAAATCCACACAGATTCATTATGTTCAACAATAATATGAATGCCATGCAGTGAATTTGACAGCAGTGGAGGGAGTCACCGTGTTTACTCTGTGATATCAGATGCGTAATATCAAGCAAACACAGCTCCACCCTGAGTGTATCCACAGCAAACATCCACCACCTTCAGTTGTGAAGGAATTGACATGACTACTGTACACACTGTGGTGATTTGAAGCAGCTTTGTGTACATTTAAAAAATATATTCCAGTACAACATTACCACTCTCAATGCTAACATGTATACTGGAATTAACTACTCGATGGCCATTTTAACAAAAACTGGAACGAACTTGATGGCTGAGCTGCTGGATTGTAAGATGATACATGTATATCTAAATAAGGTGGCCCATCAACATTAACACCAGAATGAAAGATGCAATTATGACATAGAAACACGTTTGATTGCATGAAACCATGTGGTGGCTGCAAATAAGGTGTCAAATGTTTAAAAAGGAGAAAAAAAGGTCAAACATTTTTGGTTAAAGGTGGGTAGGTAAGTTTGAGAAACCGGCTCGAGATGCACTTTTTGTTATATTCCATGGAATGCTCTTAACATCCCGATAGCAATGAATATCTTCAGTGCTTTGAAAAAAAATCCATTAAAAAACGTCATCTGTGGAAGCCGTGGCGCTGTAAAAAGCACGACCAATCATTTGAGCCGGCCCGGCTAAAGTAACTGGATGGCCTACCTGCCTGTCAGCCTTCCATCTGTACACAAACTTATCTCGTGCCCTCATTGGTCATGTGCGCGTTCGTGTGTGTTGCAGGAGGGGCTCTGTAAGGAAGTGGCAGTTTTTTTCAGGCTGTGTATTTTCAAATTCTAGCGCACTCGAGCTGGTTTCTCCAAAATTACCTACCCCACCTTTAAAGACATACAAGTGATCCTGCTTGTAAATGACACCAACTTGCACTTACTTCCTATTATCAAAGGCTGCTTGAGCATGGATACAACTGCAGGCACACACCCAAATACATTTCCTGTAGGAACTGTTAAAGTGAATACACTTTCCGAATGACAGGCACCCATTAGCAGATAAATGTTAGCTTGACCTCTTTGTATAGAGATCAGTCAGCTGTGTGCCAGTGTGTATGTTTTCCTTTCATTCAAAGCTCTACTGCCATCATCTGGTCAAGGTTTGTATTGTTAGTTTGTCCTCAAGCAGCCCTCCGCCTCCTGCAGTGTTCAAACATGAATTAGATTTTTCATGCAGAATCAGTCCTTAAGTGTCTGAATGTTTTCTTCCCCGACAACATCACCAACGTACAGTAAAGCACTCTAGGGCCACACTGCTGTAATAATAAAGTAATGGGGTGAAGCCTGCGAGCTAGTTCAGGCAGTCAACTCGAGCACCAATGATACATTAACACGTGACGCACCTCGTCCCTCTTACAACCAACCAAACGCATTCTCCTAAACATGCCGCTCTATTTAAGCTGCCAGGTCTTCCTGCCTCTGCGTCCTCGCTATGCTGCTGCTGCTGCCACTGCTGTGTTCACTTGCTATTGCTGTGTTCATGTTCCTGCTGCTGTGTTTCATGTTGCTACTGCTGTGTTTCATGTTGCTACTGCTCGCCTGCCCCACCACCACCCCAGCTTCCACCTGTAGGCCCGGGGGATAGTTATCTAATCATCACTCAATGTTCTTTGTAAATCTGTGGAGTGATGAGGCCCGAGCCTAGACGCCAAACTCAAACTATATGCTGCTTCTAATAAACATATTAAGAAACACGTGAGTTGTCTGACTGAAATGTGTTTGTTGTAAGAAGTTTAAAAAAAAGATTCTTCTGCTGTGTTTCCTGTCAGAGCACCAGGCCGCTCTCCTGCAGCTGAAGAGAGAATGCAAAGAGGAGCTGGAGACGTTACAGGTCAGTGACAATGATTGAGTCAGGATAAGGAAGAAAAGTGCTTATGGGTCCATAATCGCAAATATATTGAGAAAATCAATTGAAAAATTGCTGGAAAAGTCCAATAATTTGGATTTTTAAAAAATAATATTTACTTATATTTAAATGTCAGATGCTGTCGACTGGCAGCTTTAGACTATTCTCAGGAATTGTCAATGTCTCTTGTACGCCATGTAAAGGTTTCGGGTACCTACTGTACTTACTGTATATTGTGTATGTCTTTGCTTTATTGTAACTAAAAGAAAAATTCAAAATAAAGTGTTTAAAACACAATTATAATTTAAATGTCACTGTAGAAAAACACCTTTTGTATCTTAACTGATATTATTTTCAGGAGGACTTTGGTCAGCAGCTCTCCAGACTGCGGGTGGAGAACGAGGACAACGTGTCCCGTCTGGAGTTCAGTGTCTCCGAGCTGCAGACCCTCCTCTCCCAGGCCGGGACCCGCCGTCACGGGGAACTCAAAGACGTTGCTGTGTCAACGGAAGACGACTTCTTACACAAGTCTTTCCGCACAGTGTGCATCCAGACCGACAGGGAGACATTTCTTAAGACCCCTGAGGATGGAGAGGGAGCAACGAGAGCAAGCATGGGCCCCCAGCAGCAGAGGGTGACCCCCAGAAAACTGGACCTGACGTCTATCAGCCTCAGCCTGGCCGGACACAGGGACGATTCTTCCTCTTCATCACATGACCCTCCATCACTTCCTCATATGCAGACTCCATCAGTACAACCACTAGCTCCTTCTCAGACGACCAAAACACAAATCCTGCCTCCTCCTCCACCTCCACCTCCGCCATGTTTTTCTTCACCCCTTGACCTCATGCAGATGTCACATAGCGCTCCACCACCTCCTCCACCTCCTCCACCTCCTCCCTCCACTCCAGGCTTTGCTCCCCCACCTCCTCCACCTCCATCCTCCACTCCAGGCTTTGCTCCCCCACCTCCTCCACCTCCACCTCCTCCCTCCACTCCAGGCTTTGCTCCCCCACCTCCTCCACCTCCACCTCCTCCCTCCACTCCAGGCTTTGCTCCCCCACCTCCTCCACCTCCACCTCCTCCCTCCACTCCAGGCTTTGCTCCCCCACCTCCTCCACCTCCTCCACCTCCTCCCTCCATGCCAGGCTTCGCTCCCCCACCTCCTCCTCCTCCAGCTGGGGGTTTTATTGTTGAAAAACCTCCAAGGAAGCAGACAGTGGAGCCGTCCCGACCCATGAAGCCTCTGTACTGGACCAGAATCCATATCCAGCACAACAAGTTGGGTCAAACACTGCTGTAAACGTATTCTTACTTTTTATTTAAATATATTTTTAAATACATAAGAGTTTTTAAAAATCAGATATTGTATGAATTCACTTGGTAAAACATTTGCAATCTATTAGGAAAAGAAAGCTCAAAAAGATCTTAAAGCAGACTTTTTAAATATAAATAATGCAAAAAATGAATCTAAAACTATCTAGATACGTATTTTATCGGTTCAGTTTTTTACATTTTGTAAATGAAATGATTATCTTATTTTACTGCCCCACTTTAAACACCTGACAAAAGTAAATAGATTGAAAACATGCTGATGAAATATGATGTTCTCTCTCCCTCAGGAACACACTGTGGAACATTTTAGAGGAACCAAATATAATAAATGCCGGCCAGTTTGAGGATCTTTTCGCCAAAACCATCACACACTCCAAGAAGAAGCCGCTGTCCGAGGCTTATGAGAAGAAAGCCAAAGCCAAGAAGGTAAGATGCAAAATCATGCATGACAAACTGCAGAATCTGGGATATTTGTAATATGTTGCTTCTCCACTAGAGGGGGTTAATGTCATTGAGACAACATATAGGGAATATAAAATATAAAAGAACATTGAATCCAGATTGAGATACAACTATGAGATTTTTGAACACACTAAATAATCCCCCTTGTATCCTCAAATCAAGTGTTTTTAAATCGTGATTATTCAATATCTTTCCCCTCATCACACTCCTCATATGTTGCCACTGTTATTTAACTTTGATAATTTCCCCCCCAAATTTGATTGAGTTGCAGTTCCTCATTTCATTTTGTCTGCTGTATTTAAAGGCAGAAATTACCCTAATGCTACAGAAGTATTTGTATTGACACAAAGGCAATCCAAAGTATAACAAATAAGAAAACATTTAACAGACAATGAGAAGAAAACATACATTTACATGATTATCATTTAACAAAAAGGGAAAAGAAAACCCCATCTGTTCAAACAAGAGGTTAATAATAAGGTCAAGGCAAAAAGTGACCTTTGTGTGTTTTGCTGCACCTTTTAACAAAAACTCTCCACTAATGACTCCCTAATGGCTTCTAGTGTTAAGGTAGTCATGGTAACTGTGTGTGTGTGTGTGTGTGTGCGTGTGTGTGTGTGTGTGTGTGTGTGTGTGTGTGTGTGTGTGTGTGTGTGTGTGTGTGTGTGTGTGTGTGTGTGTGTGTGTGTGTGTGTGTGTGTGTGTGTGTGTGTGTGTGTGTGTGTGTGTGTGTGTCAGATCATTAAGCTGTTGGAAGGGAAGCGCTCTCAGGCCGTGGGCATCCTCATATCGAGCCTCCACCTGGAGATGAAAGACATCCAACAAGGTGAGTAATCGAGGCGTGTCATTGGTTCAGTCGTGTTGCTAGGATGCAGCTTAGTGCATCAGGAAATAAACCTTACTTCCAATATAGTCATATAATGAAGAAGCTCAGATTTCTTAAGCACATTTTGTTTGTTTGTCAGATTCACATTTATTTGACATTATAACACTTACACTTATAATAGAATATATTTGTCTAAGACCCAGGGAATAAAAAGTGTCAAAATCAAAAGATCTCTTACATTAATTATACCGATTCCCATAGGTATTTAACACAGCTTTTACAAATCGGTGGGACCTGATTTCATGGTAAATTGTGGTTAGTATGATTTGTGGAAAATAACAAAGTACATCTACTAAAGTACAGTACATTAGGACAATTCTGAGGTACTTTACTTGAGTATTTTCATTTTACTTTATGCTATTTGTACTTTAACTCCACTAGGGAAGGGAAATATTGTACTCTTTACTACTTTCTCGCCTTTTAAATATCATTTGGACTATAAAAGTGTGTGAAATCAAGCACACATCATCATGTTATGACATAACATTCAGTGATCATTAAACTAGCTATATTTCCAAGCCAGTTTTGGGAAGTTGAACTTGCATCCTTCATCTGTAATCATTCAGGTAACCGCTGTTACACCAATGTTTAACTTTAACCCGTCATCACACTGAAGTTAGCCTGGGCTTCACTCTGAATATGAGCTGTTGGTGAATTTAAAGTATGACCAAAGACTGAAAAACATTTAGCACAATCAGCAGTGCTAATCCCAGACTCCTCAACATGTAGCAAGGAGCAGAGAGAGATGTGTTCATGTTCATGTCCTCTGGAGATCTGCAGCTCTGTTTGGACTTTCACTTTTAAATTTGGTATCTGTGCCTTGATTTAACATTCCCGTTCTAGCGGTGCTGGCAGTAGATCACTCTGTGGTGGACTTGGAGACCATTGAAGCCCTTTATGAAAATGTAGGTATTGCTTTCAATGGATTTATATGAATGTACAGTATGTATAAAATTGGTGACATGTTCTCGCTTCATATGTTGTTTATTCAACACAATGAACATACATGTCAAAGTAATACAACATTTAGTCACTACTACTCGAGACTGTGGTTTGAATGCAAGTGCAACTGTACAATTAAGGACTACTTATTTATATGTTAATGTCAATATATCAGAGAGCGCAGCCAGAAGAGCTGGAGAGGATCAGGAAGCATTACGAGACGTCCGAGGAAGAGGAAGTGAAACTGCTGGACAAACCTGAACAGTAAGTATCTCCCCTGCTGTGTTTAGCAGTGATGGTATGTAAGGTGTGTGTGTGTGTGTGTGTGTGTGTGTGTGTGTGTGTGTGTGTGTGTGTGTGTGTGTGTGTGTGTGTGTGTGTGTGTGTGTGTGTGTGTGTGTGTGTGTGTGTGTGTGTGTGTGTGTGTGTGTGTGTGTGGTCTAGCATTACTATACTTGTGGGGACCTAAATCTGTTTACATAGTCACGTGTGGGGACTGGCTTCCCTTATGGGGACAAATTGGAGGTCCCCATGAGGGGAATCATTAATTTTAGGGTGAAGACTTGTTTAGGGTTAGGGTAATGGTAAGGTTAAGGGTAAGGGTTAGGCATGTGTTGGTTATGGTTAAGGTTAGGAGGATAAGTCTCCAGGAAATGCATGTAAGTCAATGTAATGTCCCCTGAAGTGATGTATACATGGTGTGTGTGTGTGTGTGTGTGTGTGTGTGTGTGTGTGTGTGTGTGTGTGTCCTCTCATGTGTTGATGTTGTTGTGCTGCAGGTTCCTGTATGAGCTGTCTCAGATCCCAGACTTTGCAGGCAGAGCTCACTGCATCATCTTCCAGGCGGCCTTCATCGATGGGACCGCATCCATCCAGAGCAAGCTCAACATAGTTTCATCTGTCTGTAAGGTGGGACATAAAGCAACTTGTTACACATCCCCTCTCTTCTCTTTTTGTGATCACATTTTTATTGAGATTAATACACAACATGTACAACCAAAAGCACAACATTTTTTCTTTAAAAAAAAAAAAAAACTAAAAGTGCATAAGAAAAAGAAAAACAGCAATTACTTACAAAATATACAAAATGCAGAATACATATGTAAGCTACAAATAATAACAATAATACAGACAAACAGAAATCAAATCAAACACAACTCACACACACACACACACACACACACACACACACACACACACACACACACACACACACACACACACACACAGGGAAACGCATAGGTCACAATTGAAAGGCTGTATCCCCTCTCTTCTCATAGTGCATACTGTACCATAAATGTCGCCCTTTTCCCACTATGTATCTATGCTTTGAGACGTGTAATACAGAGGGTTTGAGGTACCAGCACTCTGTAATGGACCTTGTGTGGGTGTGTTTTCTGTTTGAAGGCTCTGCTGGAGAGTGAAGGTGTGATGGATGTGATGGGACTGGTGTTGGCTCTGGGGAATCACATGAACGGAGGAAACCGGACCCGAGGTCAGGCGGATGGCTTCGGACTCGAGATTCTTCCCAAACTGAAGGACGTCAAGAGCAGAGTAAGACCTGGAGGAGGACTGAAGTGACTCTTTTGGAGGCCAGTTTTTTTGTTTTATTGGGATGGAGTACAAGTGTGGAGTACAAGTGCGGTGGACAATGTAATGGGTAGAATGTATTGCTCATTGGCAAAAGCAGAAAAGTGTTTTTAGTGCAAGTGAAAAGAGATCATCCAACACTGATATCAAGTCATAGAAAGTGGATTTGTTTTCTTACTTTTACACATTAACTCTATGTGAGTGACTCCTTGCATGTAGTTGAATCTCATGCAATACATTTTCTTTTCAAATGAAACATCTTAATATTCATGTTTTTATTAAAGGCCTTTTTATATGGCTGCCAGCTTGCAGATTTAATCTTGACGTAGTTTTGATGCATCGTTTGCTTTTCTTCTCAGGACAATCGTATCAGCCTGGTGGACTATGTGGTGTCCTACTACCTGCACAATGTGGATGAGGTATGAGTTGCTTTGCTATTTAAATATTGTTATTCCTTTTTAGGCTATACTCTACAATGAAGCTGTCTCTATCTATGTTGCTTTCTCCGGAGTATAATATCCGAAGACGGTTGAGTGTGCTTTTAAAACCAATAGATGCAACACAATCTTTTTTTTAAAATCATCATCCAGTAGTTTTGAGGTCCTATTCAACCAGTTATCGACGGACAATTGAACACCTTTTCTATATTAACTTAAAGGTAGAGTAGGTAATTTTGGAGAAACCAGCTCGAGTGCGCTAGAATTTGAAACTACGCAGCCTGAAAAAATCTGCCCCTTCCTTCAGACTTTCTTACAGAGCCCCTCCTCCAACACACACGAACGAGCACATGACCAATGAGGGCACGAGATAAGTTTGTGCCCCGATGGAAGGCTGACAGGCAGGTAGGCCATCCAGTTACTTTAGCCGGGCCGGCTCAGATGATTGGTCGTGCTTTTTACAGTACCACGGCTTCCACAGATGACATTTTTTTATGTATTTATTGTCCAAGCATTTAATGTATTCATTGCTATCGGGATGTTAAGAGCATTCCATGGAATATAACAAAAAGTGTTTCTGAAGTGAATTACCTACCCTACCTTTAATATCTGTTTGCTTTCTTTCTTTGTCCATTTTGACTCTGATCTGATGAATTAGTGTCAGAACTACATGTGTTTTTGATTGTATCCCACCAGAACGCCGGCACAGACAAGAGTGTATTCCCACTTCCTGAACCTCAGGACGTCTTCCTGGCTGCACAGGTCAAGTTTGACGACCTGAACAGAGACCTGAGACAGCTCGGACGAGATCTGACAAGTATGTGACGACACAACTGCAACCTTCTATCTATTCCATCTTCTTCTGGAGAAATAAATATCAAAACTACTCTCGGTTCATAATATTATTACATGATAATCCCCAAACCATGAGCTCTTCTTTGAGCTTCAGCGTCCGTGTGACTGGGTGACCGGAATAGTCTCGCCTTGTGGTCATTTTGTTGTGTTTTTGTGTTAAAACCTCAGCCAGCCTGTGTAACTCTATCACTCTGATTTTGAGAGTTTCCCACAGACCAAACCTCGGCCCAGTCTGGCATCGTTTTTCCTCAGACACCCCCCCCCCCTCACACACACACACACACACACACACACACACACACACACACACACACACACACACACACACACACACACACACACACACACACACACACACACACACACACACACACACACACACACACACAACTCACTACCCTGGTTTCCCATCACCGGCCCCAGCCATTGAGAAACTGTTTATAGTTAGGACTGCTTCTTTTATCGATCTTGAGTTTGCTAAAACTCCAGAACAAAAGGTTTCCTCTGGTGTTTCTTTCTCTCTCTAAGTGTGCCCATATGACGCCACTCAGCAATGCCAGCCAGTTAAAGTCACGTCCAGGACAATGCTTACTCTTACATGTGTACGATTGTGAGTGGGTGCATTGTTGTGTCCTTATGTATACATGTGTTTTTGCCTGCACTTCGCTGTGCGTGTATTCAGTCTTTCTGCTGATACAGGCCTGGCGCCTTTCAGATCCAGCTTCTAATCCTCCTGCCCATCAGATCTCACATCGGAGGGCCTTTGTGCTACTGTCGCCAACGCAGTGAGACCATAGCTTCCTACTTGTGTAATCTCCAGACCTCCAGTATCTCTGCAGAGATGCACAGATCCTTAACCTGCCCGACTGTATCACTGGGCTCCAGTGTGGCCGCCCAGATGTGAGCGCAGACAGCTTTCTTTACCTCTCAACACAGCTTTGTCTTATCGCCCGTCTACCCAAACCACCGTGCGATCTCGATGGCCTGGCGCAGCTTCCTTTTGTTCTGCCCGTTTGAACCGCCCTCATGTTTGGTTCCTGTCGTTCTTCACTCTCCCTGTGTTTTCGGTTTGCTTGGTATGAAATGTTTGCCAACAAAGTTACAGGGAGATTAGCTTCTCTTAAGTCATCCATGTTGACTGTTGACGGAAAGGAGATCCAAAGACATAAAAAGACCTTCTTCTAATAGCAAATTAACAAGGTAAATGTCAATCCACGGTTCTCCAAGAGAGCCACTATGTAGTTATCATTTTAGTTTTTTGGTCTAATGTCTATAGAGAGGCGAAGTCCAGCCCATCTAGCCCTACTAGTTCCGACCCATGGGACCTTAATTCGTTTGAATTGTGCAACGAATTACACATATGATGTTTGTCAGTCTTCAAAAATAATTTCCATGTCAAAAAAGTCACAGTTTGTCGTAAAACTGTTGAATTATAAGACTATGAAAAATACGCAACTAGAAAGACTACAAATCCCAGAATCCCGGTCCCGCATGCTGGCTCTTAGGAACCGACTAACTCCCCTTGTGTGTATGCACAGTTCTCAACATGCTCATACTTGTAGTGATTTTCACCTCGTTTAATACTTTTCGCCTCATTCTGAAAGAAAGAAGTGAAATGTGCCAACGTGACGGCCGTCTTGGTGTGTGGTGCGAGACGGGAGATGTAGTTTATTGAGCGGTTTCACACAAAAAACAGTGTTACTTCACATTTTTACGACACATTTTAATTTTTTGACTTGCAAAATTATCTTTTAAATTGACAAACATCATGGCACAATTCAAACAGGATCGAAAGATAATCTTTCTCTCTCCATTGACTTCAATACATACTTTTTCCTAAATAAGGTCCCATGGAGCTCTCCCGGAAAGGGAGGGACTTCGCCTCTCTATATAGAACTATTAGATGGATTGCCATAAAATGCATTATCTTCATATTACCTTCAGGAAGATTTGTCATAAGTTTGGTAGCATCAGGTCAGAAATGTGTCCAACCCATTAAACTCATCCTCAGTTCTACCTTGTTTCTAGCTTTAATAGCAAGTTAGCATGTAAGCTAACCTTAGATGGTTAACATTATACCTACTACACATCAAAACATGGAGCATTTAGGGTACTGCCATGCCTAATTTACATGTAGACTATTGTTTTGTATTTTGGGTGAGCTAAGCCTTTTAAACACTAGCTAGCTTCATTTCCATTATCATTTGAATGTGTTGCTCTTACAATATTGTTTGAATTTATTTCCAGTATCATACATGGACTATGGAAGTAAGGATCTTTCTTTATTTGCAAAGCAGTGAAACAATTTTCTCTTCCATTCATTGGCCAAGTGAAATATCGGTTGTGAAGGACGGTGTTTGCTTCCATAGTCTGTACTTCAGCCTGAGTTTGGTTTCCTTCACATGATTTTGCTGTGATTGGTGATGTTACTCGTGTAAACCACCAAAACCTACAAATCTTCTCACTATGAACGCAAGTCACTTCTTCAGCCTCACATCTGAACGCCCCACACTCCTCATGAGCCCGCTCTGTTTATGTGAGGGTCTATAATCCTCTTCGGTCTGACATAAGCAAACTTCTGCTGAACACAAAGGGCCGTCAAAAGAAAGAAAGGAGAGGGAGAGATACCCGCCTCCACAGTTTACACAAATCCTGAATGAAAACAGTATGCTTTTGTAATCTTATCTGCGAGTGGTTGATCGAGCGTCAGGGTGGTGGGGGGTGCAGGGTCTCGGCTCCCTCTGCAGCCTCTATTATGACTGGCTCTGCAGACTGGCTCCTCTGATCCACTGATTGGACGCAGAGCAACATGGAGAGAGGGAAGGAGGCAGAGAGGGAAGCAGTCGCCATCTCTGGGTGAATCTCAGCGAGTGATATCTAAAGAGGAAGCTGTGCTGATAACCTCCTGCTCGGCACAGGTGGAACTAGTTTAACCTAGAACCACTTCTCCCCTTTATGGAAGCTCGTTTCTGCGAGTAAAAACCAAAAAAAGATTGTAAACTGAAACTTAGCATTCTTAAAAAAATGTCTTAGTACATGAAAATTACAAAAAACATCTCAAAGTAATGACTTAATGTCCCAATATAATGAAAACTCAAAAAAATAATAAATATGTATCACAACAAAATTAAAACGTTCTCAAAACATTTACTAAGTTCTGCAAATAGTGACCAAGTATCCCTAGATAATATAAAAGTCATCGTGTTGTCTCTTTCCTCCGCAGCTACACATTGTCTCTTCTTAAACACAATTCATTAGATATAGAAATACATGTTGAGTGTATTTTCCAAATCTTTCTTGTTTCTGTTTGATCACCAGGATGTGAGAAAGATGTAAGGAACGTTTGCTCTGATTCTCCTGAAGAAAATCTGCAGCCGTTTAAAGACAAGATGGAGGCTTTTGTTCTCAGGGGTGAGTTGTTTCAAACACGACTATGTGTAATTTAAAACTAGTCTTATTTTAATGGATTCAACGATGTGGTACATTGGAGTGCTTGCTAAAGGAAAACATTTCAGGGCTCAAAGGGAATATTTTGAAGTACTGAACATATTTAAAGGGGTCCAATTATGCTCATTTCCAGGTTCAAATTTGAATATGTGCCTCTACTGTGAAATGTTTACATTGTGTAATTATCAAAAAGGTCTTTTTTATTTTTATTGTACTGCAGCAGCTCTTTTCACCCTCTGTGTGAAACCAGAGTCTGCTCTGATTGGTTAGCGGTCAACAGCTTAAGTCCCTTACACACCAAGCCGATTTCGGCCGTCGATAGATGTCGGGCCGTCGATGAGCGTCGTGTGGCCCTACTCAGATTGGTGTGTCTTGGTGTGTACCGCACCGTTGTGTCTTTTCGGCCGTGCCGACACCTTCCGCCGCCGACTCAACATGTTGAATCGGGAGGCTGTCGGCTAAAGGCCGTCGGTCAAAGAAATCACTGATTGGCTGTTCAGGTTAGCGAATCAGTGCATGAGAAGCGAAACGGAAGTGAGGGACCCAAACAAACGATTAAGAAGGCAAATCTGAGGTTTCATTGAACTCCAGCTCTCGACACAGGTTCGGGAAAGCCCCGTGAGCTTCTCGCTGTAGAGTGAAAATGGAACGCACAAGCTATTTGTTGTTTGTTTATATCACGCAGTCTTTTCTTCTTCTCTCGGTGTATCACGCAGTCTGTCTTCCGGTTGTTGCCTCTTTTGAATGACGAATACACACTACCGCCGCCTGCTGGTAAGGAGAGTTATTGCCACTCACGCATGCGCAGTTCGTACGTGCAACTTGGCAATCGGCTGAAGTCTTTGCGGTGTGTTCCAGTGCGAAACATCATCAAGACGCAGGAGACGTGAGGCGATGTTCCGTCGGGACGTGTCCTTTGGTATCAGTTTGTTGTGTAAGGACCTTTAGAGATGTCCCGCCCCTTTTGCTTATCACGTACAATGTCTTGGAGAGCTATCTAAAAGTAGTGAGAGTGTTACATAGTGATATCACTGTGTTACGGAGTCCAATGTAGGCATTTCATTTGAGTGTGTGGGAGAGAGAACTTTGGGATTTTAGCCTTTGCAGACCATTTACATGCACCTATATTACAACCTACATGAGAGGGAAAACATCAATAAGCATAATAGGGCCTTTTTAACTCCTGAGTTCCGATTACTTAATTTAATATGAGAATGATCATATAATAAGGAATCTGTCCACTCTACCATTTCTTTCTCCCTATGCTTCATCTGAACTAGTTTATTGTCTTTAGCAGTCAGATAAATCTTGGTACCGTCTGTGTTCGTAAAGGACAGATAGGGAGGATTCAGAGTAAAGGCTAGACACGCAGATAGGGATCAGGCAGATTTGGCAATGACTGAGAGACGGATGAGACACACCGGCTCTGGGACATATTCATCAAACTAACTCATGTTGTAGGGTTTTTATTTTGACCCAGTGTCAGGATGAATCACACTCAGTTCCCCTCACAAGAATTTCAAATGGCACGGATGGATTTTAGTTTCTTGTTTTGAATATAATCACTTTTTCTGCCTGTGATGAAAAGTGACACCCCAAAGCTTCAAAGTAAAGAGTTTCAACCAGAAAACTCTAGACTTGTGTTGGATCTGTTGTCCCTTGTCTCACATGTGTTTCATTTGATATACAGGGCATCGAGGAAGTATTCAGACCTTAAAGGTCCCATGTCATGCTTTTCCGGTTATTACCCGTCCCCTTGTGTGTTATGAAGCTTTTTATGCATGTAAACGGTCTGCAGAGTCACAAACCCTCAAAGTACACCCTGTAGCGAGTAAAACTCTAACACAGAAAATACCTGTATGCTGCCCCAGAACGCCTCGTTGGACATTTCTCATTTTCCATTGTTTTCTTCCTGGGTATGGTGACGTGACCATACCCAAATGGACCAATCCGTGGAGCTCCTCACACACACACATCAGCGGCGAAACTGTGGCGCGCTGGGGGGGGGGTGCGGGTGCTAGTGGAACATCGCAGATGGGGGTGCTGCAGCCCCCTCAGCACCCCCCCCCCTTTCCCGCGTCCATTCGCGATGTCTCGCTGTCTCGCAGACCCCACACAGCAAGCAGGAAATGAACCCAGCTCACACTGTCCGCTCCTCGCAGCAGCGAGCCCCGCAACGTCCCGCCAACACGGCACCCAGACCCCACGCAGCATTCTCATCTGTTTGTCCTTACTGGTGTCATTTTCTGGTTTCTAACGCCATTGTAACACGTAATCACTGATGTTCCGCTGTAACGGTGGTGGACTCATCAGAACAGAGTGGGCGAGCTGACCAATCAGAGCACAGTGGGCTCACAGGGAGGGGGGCAGGAGCTCCAACAGGCCGTGTAGGACAGAGAGTGAATACACATACTATACAGAGATGCTGTATGAGAAACCAATGTGAGTTTGGAAAATTGCAAAATATAAATCTATTCTAGTAGACCTCAACAATGGAATTATGATCAGTAGAAATGGCCATGACATGGGACCTTTATTCCCCCTTTTTATAAGGTTGCAGGCTAACGCTTTAACACCTTAAAATGCAATGTTCCCCCTTCATCTAAACTCAGTATCCCATAATGACAAAGCAGGATTTTAGATGTATTTCTGTGATCTGCGCCTCGACACACTAGCTGTTTCTTCGACCACATGTCCTAGATTTTGATCTGATTGGTCAGCTGTGAGACCTTTTTATAGACAGTTGTGTGCCTTTCCTAATTAGGTGCAATTAGTAGAATCACTCCGAACAAGGTGGAGAAACATGTCATGGATGATTAAAAGGAATGAGAGGCACCTGTTTAATGGGTCAACTTTCAGTTTATCGTTTGAACACATTTGCAAAGATTTCTAGAATCTTTTTCCTGGTGTTATGAGGAATTGTAGCCAAATGTATGTGGGCAAATACATGTATGCATACTGTAAGGCTGCAACATAACAAGATGTGAAAAGGGGTGTTAAAACTTCCTGAACTCGCTGTAAAACAATAAAAGACCGAATAAACTCTTTTCTGCCATTTTTAAGCTTTATTTGTCATTTCAAACACATGAAGCACATATTTCTCAAACAAACATTTTGGAAGATTTTAACATCACAGATTCACCAAACAATGAAAGCAAGTCTTATATGATATTGTGTCTTTGTTGAAAATATATTTAAAAAATTGGTCTAAAATGGTAGCAGAATAAAATTAAGTAATCTAAACAAAATGGCTTCATTTCATCATCATAAGATATTCATATTGTCTTTTATATGTATTTATATCCATATAAGCTCCATATGATTAGGGTGAGGGTTATGTTTTTGAGGCCGAGTCTGCTCATAACTAAACTGTTTCCTTTTCTCTTTCTTTGCAGCACGTAAAGAACACGCAGAGGCGTCTTATCAGTTGATGACTGTACAAAAAAGGTGTGAGAATTCAACCATATTTTGTGTGCACCATACAGGGCTTTGTTTGAATTTCATTAAAAAGAAATTGTCGACATGAGCAGCCACAAATGTTTACCTTAGGGAAAAAAGCAATCTATGAACGTGTGTGAAAATTAATTTGAATTTCAGTCAACTTGTTCAGTTTTCAGGACTTGACTCTGTACTTTGGACTGAAGCCTAAGTCAGGAGAGAAGGAGGTGACGGCCGGGCATCTCTTCATGCTCTGGTTTGAGTTTTGTGCCGACTTCAAAGCCAGATGGAAGAGGGAGAACAAGAACATCTCAAATGAAAGGTATCAGAGATTTGCACGTGCATCTTCTGTTTGTAATCAGCAGGATCCTCTCTTTATTTATTTCAGGTTTGTCTGTCTGCAGTTAGTTAGTATTACATAAATACTACCCGCCCAATTTCCATGAAACTTTGTTGAACGTTGCAGCATGGGCCAAAGTAAACCCATTAAACCCTGGGTTGTTACACAAATGATTTTACCCTTTCATTGACATCGTGGACGTTTCGGGTCGTGGCTGAACCTGTCTCTGCGGTCCTGCCTTGGGTCTCGTCGTGCTGCTTCCCTGATGGCTTCCTCAGGATTGTAGCTGACATCCTCGTGGATTCATCTTCTTATTACAGACACATGCATTTCCTAACATTCGGTCTATATGCTGTAAAATGTATTATCTCTTCGATTTACACACGGCATCTATTGCACGTCTGTCCGTCCTGGGAGAGGGATCCCTCCTCTGTTGCTCTCCCTGAGGTTTCTCCCATGTTCCCCTTTAAACTGTGGGTTTTCTCTGGAAGTTTTTCCTTGTACGATGTGAGGGTCTAAGGACAGAGGGTGTCGTTTTTCTCATACTGATATTCTGAATCAATCTGTGTTGTTGTATTTGCTGTAAAGGTCTCTACTGTAGGCTATTTTTATTATATGTACAGCACTTTGGCTCGACCAAAAATCGTTTATAAATGTGCTATATAAATAAAACTTGATTTGATTTGATTGACATTGCGAGATAGGTCTGTCTGCGCTCTCCGAGCTCTGACTTGTATTAAACACAACAGATTTGCAAACAGTGAAATGCTTTACCTTCACGTCATTGAGTAAATCTGCGTTCCTTTTTTGGTTTAATTGAACTAATTTGACTGAATGTATTAGTCATGTCAAATCTAGTCGATACTTTGAATTTATACTCTAAAGAATTTGATTTCTAATACTAAGTCAAACCATTGAACTTAACACCTTGTTTTTGCAGATTAAAAGAGGCTCAGCTGTCAGTGAAGAGGATCACATCGGAGAAGAAGGTGGAGACCAGAAAGATCAACCCCAACAGTCTGGTAAGATTTGACACAGTTACAGTTTTGACTCTAAATAAATACATTTCCTAAACCATGCAATGCAGATAAATAAATACACATACAGAAATAAACTCATGCTCTTACTCTCTGTCTCACTAGGAAGCACATCATTCAAAACACTTCTTTCTGCTTTGATGTCCAGATTGTGTTTTGTCAGAATTGATAACACACATTTTACCACCAACAGAAAGAGAGACTGCGTCAGAAAGAATCCAACATCTCCTCGATTTAAGAGAGAAGAAACATAAAGCCGACTGATCCGGATCGATAAAACCTTGGGTTGGACTGGAAATGGACCATGATACCAAATGAACAGTTTATTCATTAAAACAAGATACATTTATGGATTTAAAAAAATGTTTTGTCACTTTTACCTAAAGAAATCTATCAGTTTTGTTAAATATTTGCCACCCGAAATGAACTTTGATTTGACAGATTTTAACGTGCAATATTAGAGTGTAATATAAACCATAGTGCTATATTTATATTTGTGTATTGAACTCTAAGCCAATGATTTGCATCTCTAATCCTCATTTTTCTACGAATAAAATCACTGATTAGAAAAATACATGATTTCATTGTGTGTTTTATTTATGAGCAACTTTACTAGACATGATACACATTATACACAGTTGTAAAATAAAAGAAGTGGCATTTAGCAGTGCAGGTTGTACAAATAATAAATCATTCTGAGCTTAACATCCCACACAGTGGAAACAATAAAACCATCCCAATCCTTGGAACAAATATCTTTATAATCAGATGATCCATCAGCCTGCATGCTAATATCTGATCATCAGTGGCAATACTGCATAATAACACATCTTCCACATGTGATAACAAAGGAAAAGCTATTTTTGTGAAAGCAATGACTGATGATAGATGAGATATTTGGACAATGTGAGGAATTATTGATTACAGCTTAAAGTATAATCTATTTTAGAGAGAAAAGGGAGAGATAAATTGAATCAACCACGTTTGTATATTCATCTTCTCTCCTTTACAATGACAACAAGGGCTCAGGTTACTTCTTCGCCTTATTATTCCAACTTTTTCTCATGTGTCCTTTAAGCAAAATACACTTTCCAGTTGTTTTTTGCAACGATGCAGTCTCCCTCCAGTTGCATCGGGTATTTACAACCTTGATTTGTGACAGTTTCCCGTCTAATCCGTATCTATCGTGGTGCAGCGACACTGCTTTACGCGCTGGATCCGTTTCTTCCTGGTGCTGGGTGTCTGGCCCGGGCAGTACAGGGTGTAGGTGACGGTGCTGAAGGTTTTTGGTTTGCAGGCAGAGCAGGACTGAAAGGCGTCTCCGTCCTGGTAGTTATGCCTCGGGATGTAGAAGGAGTTGCACTGTCCGTAGCAGAACCGGTTGATGATGGTTCGGCTCAGGCAGCCTTCCTCCTGGATCGTCTGCTTCAGCGGCTGCGTCTTGCACCAGTCCAGCCGCAGGTACCGGCGCTCCGTGACGTGCAGAGCCTCCTGACTGGACTCCAGCACCTCGTCGGTGGCGGTAACAGGCCCCGGTCCGCGGGTAAGTAGTCCACTGATGGCGGGCTGTTGGCATCCATCCGATTCGTTTGGGTTGTATTTGTTTGGGTGGGGGAATGCGCCTTGAAAAGTGGATGCTTCCGCGAGCAAAAGCACCAAAACCGCTGCAGAGATCAGCGTTGATGGTGTTGTCATCGTTGAAACTAAAAGAGAAAAAACGTGTCAGTCATTGGTAATCATTTTACGAAATTCATGTGGATTTACGCACTTTTTTTTACGCGCCCATTACGCACCAAAAAAATAAATAAATCATCATTTAGAAGTTCAGTCAAACACAATCAGCAGTTACCTGTTTATTCAAGCTCCTCAATAGAAAACGTTATCCAGTCAGTCACAGCGTGGGTTTCTTCTTCAGGTCTCTCCTCTTCTAGTGGCTTATGAATGACTCACTGAGGGCTTTTCTAAACTGTCTTGAGCTACAGCGCTTCATCTGAACCATATATCTGAACACGCCCCCCTCCCCCCTTCTCAAACTCTGACCCTCACCTCATCCGTCTGGATTGGAATTGTAAAATAAAAAACACTTCCAAACTTTTTCAATGCAGATACATCGTTTACTTGACTTTACAGAACAAAAACATAACACAGACATTTATCCGGCAAGATGAAGTTACACAACAGATTCAGTGCTGCCTGTAGACTTATATCCTGCAGTATGGTGACAGAAGCAGATATACATCAGCAGAATAGCTACAGTATTTACCATGCTACAGTGGTGTTTAAAATCATCCTTCACAAGACGACGCAAAGCCGCTACTTTGCTTCCAAGATTAATGTGACTTATATTGAATCTTTGCTTCAGATGTGATTAACTGGAAATATCAAGACATACAAAAAACCTAACTTCAGAATCTTCAGAGTGAGTTAATTCATTTCTGTACAGTCATGAATAAGAATTACCATCTTATTCAACATTCCCCCAGATCTATAGTCAACTCATTATAATACATTTCTAGGTTTAATGTACACTGCCAGTCAAGATTTAAACACTCAGTTAAAAAAAAACTTATTTCTGGGAGTATAGTAAATATTACAGAGTGCTGCAGTTTAGGTGGTGGTTCTGCTGGCAGCAGGGACCGTCGGTGCCGCTTCCTCCTCTTCCTCAGAGAAGTGAGGAACAGACTTTTTGGCGACCACGTTGTCCAGCCTCTGGCCCATCAGGTACGGGTTCACGCTCTGCAGGGAGGCGGGAGAAACATGTTAGGCTACTATTCATACTGTAAACATGAACATACAGTAATGACCTATAATCTGACCAAATGACTAAATCTGAAAGTTAGGTTTTTAGCTTACAAAATTACAAATTCAGATTTAAAACAGTAAGGTTAAAGGAATACTTCATCCCCAAAATGATTATATGTAGGTATAATAAATCACCCTATGTGTAACCTTGAATTCCTAAAGAACACTTTGTCTGGCATGTGTCCACAGAACATTCCAAAAATTGAGGAAAATTATTTACAAATGTATAAAGAATTTACAGTTTTTGGATTTCGTATCATAAAAGCATGCTAGACATGCTTAGTTATACAAATGTGTATATTTTGTGTTCGCAGTCTTCCTTTCAGAGTACATCACTCTGCTATGGGACAGACACAATACTACAAAGGAAGAACATGATACCCTTTTTCTTCTTTTGGGTCCACCCTTCAGTTTCTGGTACAAAAGCTCCTTGTTCTGAAAGGAAACAGAAAAAACATCTTCAGACATTAAATCATGTTTGCCTTTCTTCTACAGCCAGAGTCTTTGTTTCTAAATGACAGTCAACAAATCGCCTGAGCAGACAAACATTCAGGGATGAATCCATGCAAATCACAAACAAGTTTAGTGAAGTTTACACTCCTGCTCTGTACTCACCCACTTGGCCAGCGCTGGGTAGTCGTGCTCGGGGTCAAACAGGTGCTGGTGTTTCTGAAACTCTCTGCTGAACTCGGCTGTGTCCGGAGCGTTTTCCAAACAGCCGTCTGCTGCTGTTGGTGTCAAAGGATGCAGAAACGTATGTTAAAAAAACAGCAGATCAATAAATAATATCAATAAAGCACAGACGGAACCAGCCCTGTGGCGTCAATTACACATCTGCCCTTATGTTCATACTGAGACATTTTATTGTTTATACATTATGTAATTATATCCTACCTGTCTTCTCCAGAGGACAGGGGTTCGGAGGGTCTGGGTACCCGTGATCCTCGCTGAAGTCTTTGGGAACGTTGTCTCCAGTCAGCTCGGCCACAATGTTAGGGATGTTTCCAAAGGGGCCGAGGTGCTGCAGCCCCTCGTGAGCACCACCTTATGGAGGGACACAAGAATTACTAACAGCACAAACACAACAGCACCAGCAGCTGGAAAAAGATTCATAAAACATGGAGGCAGTAACAGTTGTGTTAATGTCATGTGTTTTTCATGGCATAACAACATTAGTTCTCACATCTTAACATTTGCATTAGTTATTTCAGAACAGGAGGAAGCCCCATCATTGATGAACGATATTAGGCTACTTGCATTCAGCATGAATTTGCAACTTCCATAATCAGTTAACGTTCTTTGTCCATGTTTAACAACAAATATAAAAAATGTCTGAACAAGCTGTACGTCGGATAAAAAAAAAAATACAATAAAATAAAGTTATTATATTTCTACATTGCTACAGAATAGACACATATGATAACATTTATATTTCTATATATAATGAAAGCAAACCAGAGGGATTGGGTTGTTCTGATCCAGTTAGTGTTATTTTAATATTACCGTTTAGGTTGTTCAATCATAATGAGATAGATTATAGGGCAAAATGAATATACTACAATTTAAAATACAGTATGGTTAAATACACAATTCATGCCTCATATTGCACTATCCATACTGTCCCTTATAATAAAGTGTATTCTTTATTATTTTAGCGATTAATCTTCTTCCTGGTTTCCACCTCATCTCCTAGATAAAGATCACACGGTGTGTCACTGACCCTGAATACTCTGAGGACCCACGATGTTGGTGGCCTGGTGAGCCGGGTACTCCACCCTGGGCCGAGCGATGCCCAGCTGCTCCATGACGCCGTGCAGGAGGCGCTGGATGTCGGCCTCGGACACCTGGTCTGCCGTGCGGGGGCTCCGGGCTGAAGCTCTGCCCAGCTGCAGGACCAGGAGCAGGCCGAGCACCAAGAGCCGCACCGCCGAGATCATGTCCGTCATCTGCGGGGGAGAAACACATCAGACTACCGCACACAAGATGGACAGTAATGATGTGCAAACACAGCTGCATTTCCTGTTGGATACACATAACAGGCTAATTAAGAACATATCCCCTAATGTGGAAAAACTGATTGCATTGTATGCCTTCATGTGATCTGTTGTATTCCATATAGACTGTAAAATGCTGTATATTATCTCGAAATGGAATTAAGACTTGGTGCGCCACTAACTCTGTAAACAGACCCAAGGCCGATGTAAATACATATAATAGCCTATGAAATGTCTATTTAGCAGAAAAAACACCATATTATATAAGAAAAGCAGAATTGTATAACATGCATTGCATATAAATGTGATTGTATTGCTAGTAAACATAAGAAATGACCAAAACAGAAATGTTACAGTATTGCTTCTTACCGTATGTGTGTTGATGGGGACCTGCGTACTGCGCGAGACCTGTGTCAAGCTGGCCAGAAAAAACATGTTTCTGGCTTTTCAGAATAAAAGCTTGCTTTCGTCACACGCTAACAAAACTACTTTAAAACCTGTTTCTTCCCTTCGAGATCTATTCTAATTTAAGTTGATACATCATATTTGTAGTGTTCAATTATTTCTAGTTGTTCTAAAAACATTTAATCTCAACGTTTCCGTCGCCTGTTTATTTCTCCCACTTTATTTTGAAGGGATACACTTTATTTCCACTGTCATCATAAGTGTCCATTATGCAACACGCAGGATGCAATCCTCCTCGCTTCACGGTTCAGATGCAGTTGTTGCTATGATACAACAAATCCTCGCTTCTCATTGGCTGTATGTATGTGGCAAT